GAGGCACCTGCTTTGAATGCCAGATGGAGCTGCTGGCAGTGGGTCCTAGAGGGACTAGATTCCAGAGGCTCCGCTTCTACGTCAGGTGATCTCTTTTCATCTGATCTTTGGTTTGGATCTGGGCAGCATGAGGAGGCCCCAGAAGGAATCTTTGTCTGGGGGCCTGACTGCAGTGGCTCAGGGCAATCCTGCACATGGAAGGACCCGGGCTCATTCTCTAGGATCTGTAATTAAGGACTCCCAGAGAGCAGGTGCTGGGAGAAAAGCTTTCTGTGCCCGGGGGTTTCTGCCAGCCAGGACAGACAATGCTGAGCAACTCATGGACTGATTGTCCACAAGTCAGATTCATATTGATGTGCATGGCTGTTTTCGGACAACAGCTCCACTGTGCAGGGAGGGATAAGAGCGGGACCGTTGAGCCCTCCCTTGGAGTCCAAAGGAGCCACGTAGAACAGAAACCTTCCATGGGAAACATGTTTGCCTGATTGCTCACAATAAAGAGCACTGGTGTAGTCCGGGGGGGGTCAGACTAGGATTGCCAACATGAGGTTGTCAACGGGTGGGAGATTCACCTGTGCTTGGGGGCCGGGGGGGGAAAGGGTCTTGTCAATCACATTGTGACACTACTGGCTATGCGCTAACCTCACTTTGGGTCACACCTGGGTCAGCAATGTTCTAGCATTCGGCCAAAACTCTTTGGTTTAACTGAAGCAGGAGACCTGGCCTCCCTAGGTCAAATTAGGGTCTGGGAAGCCCACGTTAAAATCCAAGCTCTCCCCTGGAAACTCACTGGCATCCCCCGTTCCTGGCTCATTAGACTAGGGTTAGTTGCCCACCTCCAGGCAGAGTCTGGAGATCTTCCAGAATCACAACTGAGCTGCAAAACTAGAGAGATCAGCTCCCCTAGAGAAAATGGCTGCTTTGGAGGGTTGACGTTATGACATTATACCCCACTGAGGTCCCTCCCCTAACTATACCCCCCAGGCTCCACCCCCAAACATCCAGGAATTTCTCAACATGGAGTTGGCAACCTTATTCGTTACAGTTCAGCTTTTCAGGGGTCATTTCGTAGAAAAAGAGGTGCAGGAGCTCATTAGCATAACTCATTAGCATAACTTATTTGCATACGCCACACCCCCTGACATCACCGGAAGTGTGTCAGAAGGCAACACCCACTGCTCAGGCTCCACTGGACTGTTTTGGATTGCTAGCTATTGGGGAGGGGGGACGTGCAGATCTGTCCTCACAGAGGAGGTGCCACTGGACTATTTTGGACTGGGGGGCCGGGGAGGGGGGGCTCTGCAACTTACCTGGCTGCTTCTTGTTCTGACTGAGGGCTGCTGGAAACAGGGGGGTGGGGCTTGTTGCTTGTGCCCACCCACTGGGCTTTTTACTGCCGGAGCTCCGCTCCTGTGCGCTCCTGCAGGAAATGACCCCTGATTGAGATCATGATAGCTTCTCCCAGACAGAGGAAGCCATCCTAAACCAGTCGGGCCAATGCTCAGACTATGAAGAAAGGCAACTGTATACATTCCTG